TTGTGACGACGTGTGGGTTCTTTACAAGTGGTTATTGCTTGAAAATAAAATTTTAAATTAATCATAAATTTTGTTTGATTTTCCCAAAAACATATACATTAGTTATAGTATACTATATAATACAAAGGTGGTTCAACAGAAAAACAATTTTTAAAAATGTTGACGACGAATGATAGAATATTTAATATTGAAGAATACAAATGTCCAAAATACAATGATTTGGTAAATGTCATATATTTAAACAAAAGTTATGTGTGTAATAATCATGTATTTGCAAAAAATAATCACAAAATTTTACATTGTTCTTGTAACGAAGTGTGGGTTTTTTACAAGTGGATATTGCTTGAAAATAAAATTTTAAAATTAATCATAAATTTTGTTTGATTTCCCAAAAACATTAGTTATAGTATTAGTTATACTATATAATACAAAGGTGGTTCAACAGAAAAACAATTTTTAAAAATGTAGACGACAAGTGATAGAATTTTTAATATTGAAGAATACAAATTTGCAAAATACAATGATTTGGTAAATGTCATAAATTTAAACAAACGTTATGTGCGTAATAATCATGTACTAATCATGTTATTACGTTTATTCCATTTACATTCTCATCAAACATAATATAAGTATAATACTTTTTTGTCGTAACATGTCGTGAATGAATTCTGCACCTTAATAGAGTATTATTGTTTCTGCCCTCTACTGCCGCTGGATGTCTATATATTTCATATTATATACTCCTGTGATTTTCAAATGCTCACTACAGTACGACCGTGCTAACCTCACGTGATAGGTACCAATCGAGAACTTAATTAAGTCTTCAACTGTAAATTGTGGAAAATTTTCAACTTCGGGATCATTTGCAGTCTTTCTGTGGAACGTCACTCTTTGTCTGTTGAGATTGTTCTCCTCCACATACTCGGCCAGTCGATTGGGGCGTTGTATATTACGATTAATTATTTCGATAAAATCCTCAGTGTACGGACTGTCTTCGTACGGATCTTGAAAATAATTAATTAAAGCTGCAGCAATTCTAAAATCTTCAAATATATGCGGCACATGTTTGTTAAATACTCTGTTTCTGAATATCTTGAAGTCGCGCTTGAATCTGCCGTTTATAGTTTCGATGACCCATCGCACCATTGTAATAAGTCTCGATTTATTAGCTTGGTCGGTGCTTAATTGCGTGTCTTGTCTTCGTTTGATTGGCGGCATATGAGCATCATAGCCATATGTTTTAATTAAGGGAATGGAATCCCGAAAGCCTCGGTCCAAAATAAACACGTCTCCTTGATGAAAAAAATAATGGAACGGTCCGTCTTCAATGGGAGCATCATGTTTTTCCAATATCATTTTCATTATATCAGCATCAGTTGTCCGTGCAGAATACGGACCTATTACGTCCAAAATATATCCATCCGCACACCATAATGAATGGTTTTATTAGGTTTTTGTACTTATGAAGGCTATAAGTGCGGCGTTGGAATAAAAAGTTAGAACTTTTTTCTATATAGATGTAAGTTCCATCGAATATAATTATTGGTTTTGGTGACACTTCGTTACCTAAGCAAAAATTTGGTATGGCTCGGTTGTGGGCTATCACTTCGTCCCTGGTTATATGGTCTAAGCCAAGGTGCAACGGAACAAAGTCAGTAGTGAGACACTTGCCTTACTTTATTTATTTTTCTTCCAACAGTTCGCTCGGATATATTGAAAAGTGAAGCGATTCTATTATTCGGCTCGCCTGATCGAATTTTGCACAAGTAGATAGCCAAGTCATTTCTTGGAGTATTTGAGGACCGATTAAGGCTAGGTATTTGACTCAGCAAATCGTTGAGTGTGGCTCTGTTTCTTCCAGTCCAAAAGCTCCCTCATCAGAAACGTCATCTACATTAAAGTTTGACCTTTGTTCTAAAGCTTGTGTATACAAATTGATGATGTCGCCAACACTCTCCGCATTCAAGTCGGTCATTTGATTTATTATATTTTCGGGAATCTCTTCTATCGCCATGTGTATTAAATGCCATTGGCAAATGCAGGCATGATTTGGTACATAAAAATAGTAATAACTGAGGAGTTGCACCTTCACCGAATTAGGCACTTGACGCAGAGAACCGTAGTTGCAGTTGTCAATTAAACATCGCCGGGCCGTATTAGAATCGCGTCTAACTCCTTGCACATTTACAACAGCAGCTGGTGGGGCAGGAGTAGGTGAGGCTTTGATTAATTGCAGCATCGATTCTATGTCGACATGAGTGGCAAATCGATCGAGTTCCATCGAAGGCTATATCTGTAACAAAAAAAAAATACAAAAGATTAAAACAAACTGAAATAATATAACTTAATGCTACCATATATTGTGAAATCCAACTGTCTTATTCTTTAGCACTGAACCCTATTTAACTACATTTTTTACATAAAGTATAAAATTGAGGCGGCAGTAACAAAGAAAATCATAATACGAGTACCTAAGAACTAAAGCTTCGCGTACACCTAATCCGTCACAGGCCGAAGTTTGCTCGGGCGACGACGGCCGAACTCGGACGATCGAATCAAACACTTGTAAAACAAAGAGAGCGCGTATACAAACTCGACCGTTAACGTCCGATGACGCACGAAAACGGCCGATTAACCGTTGAGTCTTAAGTCCGAACTTGTTGGGATTTCTTGCCAGACTGCCGGGTGCTGGCGTCTACACTCTACAGCGCAAATTGAGTGAATTTATAGTTTAAGTTAATCATTCTGACTTTATTCTGTTGTTTCTGTCAGTATTGTTATCCATCTAAGCGATTATGGATGTGAAACAATTAGTTGCGCATAAATATTTTATTAACCTTCACGCCGATGTCGCCGACGATGACGTCGACGAATTAAAAATGCTGTATGAATTTTCTAGAAGATACATTTGTTTGGATTCCTCCATTTTTAAAAATGCGTCTTCACTCTGTTAAGCAACTACAGAATACCGGATACGTCCAATATCGGCACAAGTGGTACACTGTTGCAGTGTAAGCACATACACGTCCGAGTTACTCGTCTGGTTAGTTCTGTCCGCCATCGGCCGACAAAATCGGTTTTGGTGTACACGTACACTAACACGTGATGTTGTCTATTCACGCTAACTAACGTAAGTACTTAACTATCAATATCTTACAATTCATCAAACTTTTATATTGCGAAAGGCTTTAATTACAAATAAGTATCAAAAATGATATACATACCTCACCACTAACGATATGTAATAGTTGTTCTGCGAAATCTCTTCGAGTTTCCAGTAATCGTTCATTGAGAACGTATGAACGACGACGACGTAGTGTACGTTCACACGCAGCACAATTATTAGTATTGTCAACCATATCAACGAATCACTCACAATGCAAAAATCAAGTCCGGTAAAGAGAAAGCCAAAAATCAACGAAAAAACGCAATCTTGAAAACAAAAACACACAGATCTCAACACAGAATGCGAAGGACTGCGACGGACGCCGACCGATAGTGCGTTGCGTCAGCGCACGCCCACCCCTCCTCGCGTCCCGCCATTGTTGTTTTATTGAAAGAGTGAGATAGCATGATTGGTTTCTGTCTTAACCAGGCTACCTGAGTCGTAGCGTGACCATTTTTATACATATAACTTCCTATTATGCAATAAATAATCTACGACGATTTTAATGAATCCTAAGTTGATTGTTGTACTGGAAGTTTAAAAGTTACATAATCTAGCTGCATCCCCAAGTTACTTTGTTAGTTTGGTAACTTGAGTTAGGTACTTAAGTTAATTTGGTGGATAAAAGGGCATTTTGTATTTTTTTTCGTGTAGCGCCTGAACAAAAACATCAGGCAATATCTTAGTGTTAGCCATTGATTTCGAATATAAAAAATACATAATTTAACTGTATAAAAAATAACAAAAAAACTGAGATATGTCTCGTTTCTGTCGGGTCTGGGTCACAGATGACCGTTCTCCTTTAACGTTATGTGTGTGTATGAGTACGATATGCTGATGTAAATATACTATTATTAAAAGATGGTTATTTGTTGAGTTTCACCATCAAACATATTAAGATTTGGAATTCATTGATGATAGTTAACATTTGGTAAATTATATAAAGGTTACATTTCATCAAAGCACCATGTGATCTGATTAAAATCACAATTACATATTTCTGTAACTGATTTTATGAAATTTGTTACAAAATTTGACTTCCCACATCAACTTGGTCCTGCCACAATAGCAGTAAACGGATGTATAAAGTGAAACATTACACACGTCTAAAGTTCTAAGGGGTGAAATAAAAAATGAAAGTGTTGGTGTAAACAATTCAAACAAAATTTATGATTAATTTAAAATTTTATTTTCAAGCAATAACCACTTGTAAAAAACCCACACTTCGTCACAGGAACAATGTAAAATTTTGTGATTATTTTTTGCAAATACATGATTATTACACACATAACGTTTGTTTAAATTTATGACATTTACCAAATCATTGTATTTTGGACATTTGTATTCTTCAATATTAAAAATTCTATCATTCGTCGTCAACATTTTTAAATTTTTTTTCTGTTGAACCACCTTTGTATTATATAGTATACTATAACTAATGTTTTTTGGGAAATCAAACAAAATTTATGATTAATTTAAAATTTTATTATCAAGTAATAACCACTTGTAAAAAACCCAAACTTCGTCACAAGAACAATGTAAAATTTTATGATTATTTTTTTGCAAATACATGATTATTACACACATAACGTTTGTTTAAATTTATGACATTAACCAATAAATCATTGTATTTTGGACATTTGTATTCTTCAATATTAAAAGTTCTATCATTCGTCGTCAACATTTTTTAAAAATTGTTTTTCTGTTGAACCACCTTTGTATGCGATCACTTCGTCTTTGCACAAATTTCTAATATACCAATTTAATATGGGAATTATGTTCTCTTGTTTGTAGGCACATTTTAATTCTACATCAAAATATGGAATGCCATGCACGTGTGTTTCACAATAACGAACAGTTTTTTTGTCTTTCGGCGACAAATTATTGAAAGGATAACTTGGCCGAAACAAATAATGATCGATAAACGCATCATTTTTATTAGATAGTTTTACATCTAGAATAGACATTTCTCTACATTGAAAATGTTAATGTCCGCGGCGCAGCCTCAATGCGTGTTGGCGAACTTCACATGCCTTCGAAATTTTCTCAGACATGCAGGTTTCCTCACGATGTTTTTCCTTCACCGCCGAGCACGTGGTAAATTAGCACTTAAAATTGCAATTAACAATTTAATTGGTGTCGGCGGGGATCGAAACTACGTCGCGTACTGTGAAATTTACAGCTAGCGCTAACCACCTGAGCTACCACAGCTTAATCATATACACACACATTATTTAAATATAATTTGTTAACACTAAATCATACACACGTAAGAAAATAACAGAAAGAAAAGTAAGTTTATCAATAGATTAAACACTTACATCTATGGCCTTTCATGTGTTGAAGTAACACAAATGTAGTATTGATAGATCCACTGCGGTCAAACAACCATACACTAACTCCATGACTGCAGTTGCTTGGTCTTATATAGTACCAGTAAGTAATAATTCTAATCTAAAAAATTTCTACAATGGAATTGATAATAACTTTATGCGTCAACAAGCTTATCTCACATTTTGTTGCTTATCTCAACATTACGTCGTGTCGCGTCTTGCTCAGTGTATTGATGACTCAAATACGTTTTGTATAACACAAAATAATGCACTTTAATATTCAGAAATCACTATAATTGATCATTCCTATGTTAGTCATTGAGTAGATTGTACTGTAATAATCTACTAATGGCAGTAATATCATGGATACACTAGATGTACAACAACATCTGAAAAAGATTCACCCCAGTCACGAAAATAACCCTTCGTTGTGCGAATTTTTATTTCAAAAAAAAAATAAAATATTTTCGGATTTGAAATAGCTTAAAAATTACTAGAAAAATATTTGAAAAAATCACATTATTATATATTATGATAGTTTTACAAAAAACATATCGTTGTTTTAAAACAACATTGCGCATTTTCCAAGTGTTTTGAAGTATGTGTAGTGTATAGTGAAATATATGTTTTATTTTAACTAATTTATTTGAATATAAAAATTAATTATTATGGTATTTATAGAAATAATTATTTTTTTTGGTCACACAAAGAAACACCACATTTTTTGACAAAATTTGAAGGTGTATCCACCACATTTTGGAAATTTGCACCGTTGCTGCTTGTCTACCCATACGGACCAATGGGAAACTTGGTCTAATCTCACATCCTTTGCAGGTATTGGTTGCGTAGCTCCTTTACGCCTTTTTTCTTCAATTTCATTTTGCAATGAATTGCTTGGCCGTCCCCGTTTGGTACCGTTAGTCTGCAACCCCATGCGACATAAAGTTTCACCCAATTCCATCCTGTATCTGGACAAATTTAACACTTTTGTGTCCTTTATATGGACTTTTTTATAAATAAGCCAAGAGTTTATTACTGTCACGTCTAACAAATGATAAAAGAGGCGCATAGTCCACTTACGACTTCTCATTTTTATATTATAACGTCCAATGTAAGAATCTAGGAGATCAACCCCTCCCATGTGTGCGTTGTATTCTTTGATCACTTTTGGGCAAGAGATCGGAACTCGTTCTTTTTTCACTTTATCATAACGTGTCACAGTTGTAGCTGGTTCAGCACCAACGTAGGTGGAAAGGATATTCACAGGTTTATTGTCTTTCCATACTACAGCGCTGACATCAACACCATCCACATTCGCCACATTTTCTTCGTAATATCCTCTTGGGATGCTTTTTTCATGATAGCCTTTTTGTCTGGTAGCTTACAATTGCGTAGACGGTTGACACGCACTGTCCCCAATGAATAAATACCTTCCTTAGCTAAGAAAGTCACAAGCGGTAGAGAGGTATAAAAATTATCAAAGTGGACTATATGGTTTGCTTTGTGAGGTATCATGCGAGCTAGACGTACCACAGTATTCCCTGACTCTCCTAAATTAGGCTCATTAGCTGCCACTGTAGTTTGACTGCCACTCCCTGTGTAAATTTCAAATTTATGAGCGTAGCCATAAAGGCTGCAAAGCTGGTAAAGTTTGAAGCCCCATTTGTGCGGCTTATTGGGCAAATATTGCTTTATATGGTGGCTCATTTTCGTGGCGCACATCTGTTCATCAATCGACAAACGTTGCTCGATTGGTACAGTAGCAAACCTATTATTTAGTGCATCAACAAGCGGTCTGATAAGATAGATTCGGTCATGGTCAGGATGTCCTTTTGGCAAACATTTCTCTTTATCGTTGAAATGTATAATGGACCTTATTTTCTCAAATCGCTTCTGAGACATCGTCGTTTTTATAAGCTCATATCCATACTTGTCATGCCAGTAAAGTCTAATATTAGGAAAACGAATTACAGAAGAAACAATCAAAATTCCAAGAAACTTATTCAATTCATTCTCGTCTATGTTGACTGGGTTAGAAACTTGCTTCTGCGTGGCATACAAGTTACTTTGCTCAACTGTATGTTTTATCAAATCTGGCGTGAAAAAATTGGTAAAAAAATCTAAAGGAGTCTCCCTTTGTGTAAGTTCTTCTGGCAATTGAGTATTGCCCTGAAATTTTAGATCCTCTTCTCTAGTAATGAGATTTCGTTGTCGCCAAACTATAGGTCTTGTAGGGCGATGTGAAGATGAAGTCGGTTCTTGTAAATGTTGATCTGTTATAAAGCGATGATCCATATCATCATCGAGCTAGTTAGAAGATGGACTTTGAATGTTCTCACCTATGTGACGCTCTTCGCAATCTGAACCCTCCAGGTCGCGAAAAACTTCCCGAGCCGCTTGGTAATAGGTGTCTTCCTCGTCACTTTCCGATTCAGAGCCGTCGAGACCATCTTCAGAATCGTCTAAATTTTCTAAATAGTTCCGTATATCCTCGTCATCCAAGTGGGGCATACTAAAATAAAAACATAAAAAATCTATTAACAACCATACATTACATTTAATAAAAAGTGCGCAATGTTGTTTGTAAACAACATAAATAAAATGCTCAATAATTACTTTTAAAATAATAAAACTAAAAAAATCACTAAATAATAACAAAATCGAGGTTATAATCAATAGAATAAATAAAAATTTCAACACTTACTTGCACAAATAAAATTGTTTTACGATGACACAAATCTACTTGGCGGGCTTCAACTTTTTTGCCGCGCGAAGTGACAGATCCAAAAAAAAAAGTTAACTTTTTTTCAAATATCGAGGTTGCCAGTATAATTTTTTAAATTTATACTAATTATAAAATTACTTCACATTGAAATTAAAAAAAAAATACATGTAAGGTATGCTGTTCCTGAATGTCAAAAACTAATGTGGTTTTAATACAACACTGCGCAATTAAGGGTTAATGTTTATGCTGCTAATAGACTGCCCATGTACACTCACGTACCAACGTAATATACCTAGTCAGGTCATAAGTATTGTTACACAGTAAAAACTTTTCTTTTAGAATGCTTGCCACAAAAAAGTTTATTGAATTCGAATTGTTCATGAAAATAAAACTGTATACTTTTTATAATTTTACTCATCTTTAAATATGGAGTGGACGCTTAAAGAAGACCATGTTGCAGTTATTGCGTTGCATCGTTGCGGTTACGCAACAATTAAAATTTTTGACATACTGAAAAATTTGAATATAACCAAAAGATTCGTTTATTGTACCATCAAACGATACAATGAAGACTCTAGTGTAGATGACAGGTCAAGAAGTGGTCACCCTCGGTCTGTTAGAACTCCAGCAGT